AATCTAATTTAGCCAGGAAAGCCTTAGGAAGAAATGACATATAAACAGTAACCTGAAGAATGAGTGGAAATTAAAGCAGAAGAAAGTCTCCATGCTCAAGGAAGGGCACCATAAAGGCCCAGTGGAGGGGGGCAGGGAGAGAAAAGAAGAGACGAGCTGGGTATGGTGGCTTATGCCTGTAAACCCAGCACTTTGGGAGGTCAAGGTGGGAGGATCACTTGAGCCCAGGAGTTCAAGTCAGCCTGGGCAACATAGTGAGACCTCATCTCTACAAAAAAAAAAATTACCTGGGGATGGTGGTGTGTGCTTATAGTTCCAGCTACTTGGGAGGCTGAGGCAGAAGGATAGCCTGAACCCAGGAGGTTGAGGCTGCAGTGAGTCTTGATCGTGTCACTGCACTTCAGCCTGGGTGACAGAGCGAGATCCTGTCTCAGAAAAATAAAAAGTAAAAGCGAAGAGAAGGAGGAAGGGGAGGAGGAAGAATAAGAAGAAAAGGAGGGGGAAAGAAGAAAGAGGAGGGGAGGAAGAAGAAGAGGAAGAAGGAGGAGGAGGAGTAGAGAGGAGGATAAAGAGGGGGGTGGGAGAGAAGGAAAAATGCCTATTTAGTGAACCTGAAGCAATACACAATAATAAGGGTCGTGGAGTGGACGTGGCATTAAGCACTGAGTGAGTCCTTTACTCAGCAGTAAATTCTCCAAATCTCGGTTTCTTCATCAAGGAAAGAGGGATGATCACACCTGTCTTTCAGCTGTTTCCAGTAAGGGCTGCATACATGTTAGTTGCTCTCTTTATTGTAACTGGTTATTGCTGAGAAAAGCATGATAATTGCTCTATTAACCATGTTAATCACTCAAAAAAAAAATCATGTGTCCCTTTCCTAGAAAAATTCTGGAACAAGAATTCAGGAGTCAGCAAATGTTTTCTTTTCTTTCTTTTTTTTTGAGCTGGAGTCTTACTCCATCACACCCAGGCTGGAGTGAAGTGGCACACTCACGGCCACCCCACCGTAGACTGTTGGACTCTGGCGATCCTTCCACCTCAGCCTTCCAAGTAGCCACAACTACGGGCGTGCGCTATTATGCCTGCCTAATTTTTTATTTATTGTAGAGACAGGCAATCCACTCACCTCAGCCTCCCAAAGTGCTGCAATTACAGGCAGAGCCACCGAACCAAGCCAGTAAATGCTTTTTTTTTTTGAGTTGGAGTCTCACTCTGTCACCCAGACTGGAGTGCAATGGCTGCTCCCGGCCACAGCAGCCTCAACCTGCTGGGCTCCGGCGATCCTTCCGCCTCAGCCTTCCTAGTAGCCAGAACTACAGGCGCGCTCTACCACGCCTGGCTAATTTTTAAATTTATTGTAGAGACAAGGTCTTGCCAAGTTTCCCGGACTGGTCTCAAACCCCGGGGCTCAAGCGATCCACTCCCTGGACTCCCAAAGTACTGGGATTACAGGTTGAGCCACTGAGCCCAGGCAACCAGTCACATTATTATTTGCCTCTCTCTGAGTTCCTTGTCAATGTATTCAGTGGTACTTTTTTCTGAAAAGTTTAAACATTCCATCTATGTAATTTAGTTAATCCTCATAAATCTCTTGAGATGATGGCCAGGAATTCAGTCATTGTGGTTTTACAAACCAGAGAAGCATAGACTGGATAAGACCTTTCTAAGGTTACAGAACAGGTCTGTGTCCCACTATGTCAAACATTAATCGAGTTTGGAATGAGGAATTGATTCTTCTAGGTTTCAATGGCTTTCCAACTCTTTTTTCAATTTATTTTAGCATTGTGAGATACAAACAGGAATTTGCTATATAAGTAATCTGCATGTGGATGAAATTTGAGCTTCCAGCTGATCCTCACTTCCCCTGGTAGTGGACTAGGTACCCATTGTGTTGTCATGTGCCCCTACCCACTTTTTTGAGTTGGAGTCTCACTCTGTTACCTAGGCTGGAGTGCAGTGGCACACTCACAGCCACTGCAGCCTCCACCTGCTAGGCTCAGGCGATTCTTCTGCCTCAGTCTTCCGAGTAGCTGGAACCACAGGTGTGGTCACCACGCCCAGCTAATTTTTTGATTTATTGTAGAGATGAGGTCTTGCCAAATTGCCCAGGCTGGTCATGAAACCCTAGGCTCAGACAATTCTCTTGCCTCTGCCTCCCAAAGTGCTGGGATTACAGGTGTGAGCCACTGTACCTGGCTCCTATTTTCAAACTTTTTAAACCACTACCCACTTTATGGAATGCAACAGGTATCTGAACACATGCATATACCTGAAACAAAAATCTCAGAAAACAATATGTCCATGATTTATATTTGTTACTTTCTATTGCATTGAAAATATGCCCATTGCCTAACACCTAGGATCTACAAAGAACTTAAACATGCCAAAAGGAAAAAAACAACCCCATTAAAAAGTGGGCAAAAGTCACGAATAGACACTTCTCCAAAGAAGATGTACAGGCAGCCAACAGACACATGAAAAAGTGCTCAGCCTCACTAATCATCAGAGAAAAGCAAATCAAAACCAAATTGAGAAACCACCTAATCCCAGTAAGAATGGCCATCATTAATAAAATAAACCACAGATGCTGGCGAGGATGCAGAGCAAAAAGTATGCTTCTACACTGCTGATGGGAATGCAAACTAGTGCAAGCTCTTTGGAAAACAGTGTGGCAATTTCTGAAAGAACTAGAAATTGACCTTCCATATGACCCAGCAATTCCCCTATTGGGAATATAACTAGAGGAACTCAAATCATTCTACAAAAAAGATACCTGCTCACGCATGTTTACTGCAGTACTATTCACAATAGCAAAAACCGTGTTGCCCATCAAAACTGGACTGGATAAAAAATGTGGTACATATACACAATGAAGTATTATGCAGTCATAAAGAAGGACAAACAGATGGACTTTGCAGCAACTTGGATGAATTTAGAGTCGATCATACTCAGTGATCTATCACAGAAACAAAGAACAGAATACCATATGTTCTCACTCATAAGTGGACCTTGTAAATCATAATATTATATGAAAGAGACTGTCAGTAGTGGGAAACTGCCAGGGGAGGGAGGGTGGGATTGGCAGTTGAGGGAAACTACCAGGGGAAGGGGGGGCACACCTCATCGACAAGGGTAACTTCATAATGAATATTTGTATACCTAACCCTGAATTGAACCCCACATCTTTACATTAAAAAATTTCAAAGCTAAAAAAATACAAAAAGGAAGTACATATGTTAACTGAGTCTTGTATGAAAATAAATTCATAAACAAAATATACATTCAAGTTAAAAAAAGAAAGAAAGAAAATGTGCCCATTGGGATCTACTAATATATTGATTCCAAAGCCTACTGTGGGGTTAACCAGTAGTTTATTTTTATTGTTATTTAAAAAATTTTTTTTGAGTCAGAGTCTCACTCTGTTGCCCAGACTGGAGTACAATGGCATGCTCATGGCCACCACAGCCTCAACTTGCTGGGCTCAGGCAATCCTTCCACTTCAGCCTTCCAAGTAGCGGGAACTATAGGCATGTACCCCACACTAGGCTAATTTTTTGGTTTTTTTGTTTTGTTGTGTTGTGTTTTTGAGTTGGAATCTCACTCTGTCGCCCAGGCTGGAGTACAGTGGCACTCTCACGGCCACTGCAGCCTCAACCTGCTGGGCTCAGGTAATCCTTCTGCTTCAGCCTTCCACGTAGCTGGAACTACAGGAGTGTGCCACCACTATACCTGCTAATATTTTTCATTTATTGTAGAGACGAACTCCCACCATATTGCTCAGGCTGATCTCAAACTTGTCAGCTCAAACAATTTTCTTGCCTCCACCTCCCAAAGTGCTGGGATAATAAGTGTGAGTCACCATGCCCAGCTTAACCAGCAGTTTAAAGTGCACTATCCCAGAATTTAGGTCAACTTCTTGGATTCCAATGTGTAATATTCTGAATTTGGTTTGGAGAGCAAGAGATCCAGATTCAAATCTCACCTCCACCATTTGTTGTCGAACTTGGTTAAGTCTCTTCAGCTCTGAAAGACTGTTTCCACCTTTGTAAAATGGACGTAATCAAAGGGAAATTAGTGAACTAACATGTCATAGTAAATGCTTTATACAGGAGTTCTCGAGGTGTGTTTCCCCAGACCAGTAACATCAGTACCACCTGGAAACTTGATAGAAATGCGAATTCTCCCTGGGTGCGGTGGCTCACACCTATAATTCCAGCACTTTGGGAGGTGGAGGCAAGAGGATTACCTGAACTCAGGGGTTCGAGACCAGCCTGGGCAACTTGGCGAGATCTCGTCTCTACAATAAATCAGAAAATTAGCCGGGCGTTGTGGTGCATGCCTGTAGTTCCAGCTGCTTGGAAGGCTGAAGCGGAAGGATCGCCTGAGCCCAACGGGTCGAGGCTGCGGTGGCTGTGAGCGTGCCACTGCACTCCAGCTTGGCGATAGAATGAGACTCTGACAAAAAAAAAAAAAAGAAAGAAAAGAAAGAAAGAAAGAAAGAAAGGAAGAAAAGAAAAGAAAAAGGAAAAGGAAAGAAATGCGAATTATCGGGCCTCACACCCCCCCCCCCCCCTCCCCCCCGGCGTACTGAATCAGAAACTCTAGGGGTGGGATCCAGCAATCTGTTTTAACAAGTCTTGCAGGTGATACTGATGCATGCGCAAGTTTGGGAACCACAGGCTCAAAACGTGGTAACTATTAGCAGTTAGTACTAGAGCCTGTAGAGATGTGCTGTGGGCAGATGATGAAAGGCTCAGCAGGTTGAAATTAAGCGCCAAAGTGTCAGGAGGATCCACAGGTAAAGGTTGGAACTGTCTCATCCTCTGCTCGCCACCCTCCCTTCTCCCTCAGAGGGGCACTGCCGAGAGCGCTCGCTCATTGGTGGAGTCTCTTGTCGACATTCACCATCCACCCATCCGCAGAAGAGAGTATAAAATGAGAGGGGCGGGACTACTTGACGCGGCGAGAGCTGCTCGCCTATTGGCTACAGACCACGCCGCGGGGCGGGGCGAAGCTGTGCGTGCTCAGGGCCGAGGTACGCTTCCGGCGGCCGTTGAAACATGGCGACTGTCGCCGAACTGAAGGCTGGTGAGTGGGAGTTAGGAGGCTTGCTGGGTGGGAAGTATCGGGCTATTGACCCGTGAAAAGAATGAGACGGGAGGAGAGCGCGGGGGACATGAGAGTCAGCGTTTCAGGGGTTCGCTCTGCGGCGGGGGGGGGTTCCCTGCGGGTGCGTCCCGCTGGAGTGGCGGCCGCCGAGCAGGGGCTCTTGGGGGAAGAGTTTCCCACCCGCAGCTTTGCAAGCGGTTTTGCGCTAGCGAGGATGCGCAGGCAGCTGAGCGGTCTCCAGGCCTGCATCCCGGGCCTCTGGCGTATCTCTCTGGACCCCACGGGGGTCCGAGGGCTTGGGCCGGGCTCTGCGCTGACAGCTGATGATTATGGTACCCGTTGCTTAAAAAAAAGCTTTAAAAAATACAAAAAAAGAAGTATGTACGTTAACTGAGACTTGTATGAAAATAAATTCATAAACAAATAAATAAACAAAATATACAGTCAAGTTAAAAAAAAAAGAAAACGTGCCCATTGGGATCTACTGATGCATCGATTTCAAAGTCTACTGTTGGGTTAACCAGCAGTTTATTTTTATTGTTATTAAAACAAATTTTTTTTTTTGAGTTGGAATCTCACGCTGTCACCCAGGCCAGAATGCGGAGTTCACGGCGACCGCAGCCTCGACCTGCTGGAGTAGGGCGTTCCTTCCCACTCAGCCTTCCAAGTAGCTGGAACTACAGGCATGCACCACCACGCCTAGCTAATTTTTAAAATTTATTGTAGCGATGGGATCTCGCCAAGTTGCCCAGGCTAGTCTTGAACCTCTGGGCTCGGTCAGTCCTCTCGTCTCTGCCTTCCAAAGTGCTGGGATTATAGGCGTGAGCCACGGTGCTGGCCTGGCCATTCGTTTCCAGAAAATTTCCTCACAGGTCGTTAAATGCCAGTTGTGAATGATGTTTGTACACCATTGACTCTGAGCAGACAATTCATAGTCATAATAGTGATCAGTGATTGAGCCTTACATGTCAGACGCTGCCAAGCTCATGTGTTATCTAATTGTTTTTCATGCAACAACCATATGCCCATTTTGCAGATTGTTACCCTGAGGTGCTGAGAGGTGAGGTAGTTAACCCAAAGTACTTTAGCTAGAAAGATGCAGAGTGTGGACATCTGGGTAGAATGCACAGGAGGGCCAGGCCTTAATCACTGAGCAAATACTGCTGCCCAATAAATGAAACCAGTTCCAGTTTTCAGGGAACTCAGGGTTTAGACCAATAATTCTTAAAGATTTGGAGGTGAGTCGATTGAATCTCTGAGAATATGATTCAGGAACCATTGATGTAAATATGTATTTGGGGCACAGAGTTGGTGAGCAGTCATAAAACAGGCATGCCTCCATCCAAAAGATCAGACTTCACATGAATCTATAGTCCCCTTCCCAGGGAAATACAGATGTCATATACTGTTGCATGCAATTTCAGCAGATTTAAAGATATTCTCGGAGGTCAGGTATAGTGGTTCACGCCTGTAATCCCAGCACTTTGGGAGGCGGAGGTGAGAAGATTGCCTGAGCCCAGGATTTTGAGACCAGTCTGTGCAACTTTATCTGTTAGAATTGGGGTTTAATTCTGTTGCCCAGGCTGGAATGCAGTGGCACAATCATGGCTCACTACAGCCTCGAACTCCTGGGCTCAAGTGATCCTCCTGCCTCCCGAGTAGCTGGGACTCCATGTGTGCACCACCTCACCCAGCTAATTTTTTTCTACTATTTTAGAGAGATGGGTTCTCCTATGTTGCCCAGGCTGATCTTGAACTCCTAGGCTCAAGCAATCCTCCCACCTCTGCCTCCCAAAGTGCTGAGATTAAAGGCGTGAGCCATGGTACCCAGCCTTAACTGTATTTTTAGCACAAACATGGCTTGTGAGAGTAAGTGTAATTGTTCAGTTTGTCTCAATGTTTAGATTGAGACTGAGAACTACTGTTGTATGTACTCTTCCTTTTCAACATTTTTCTTAAGCATATGACTGAGAAAAAATTTACTTTATAACTGAAACATTAATATTTTATATTGAACAGTTTTAAAGGACACCTTGGAAAAAAAGGGAGTGCTAGGGCACTTAAAAGCAAGGATCCGAGCAGAAGTTTTCAGTGCCCTGGATGATGACCATGAATCTCCACCATCGTTGTCTCATGAAAACCTTCTAATTAATGAATTAATTCGGGAGTATTTGGAGTTCAACAAATACAAGTATACAGCATCTGTCCTCATAGCAGGTAAGCAGTTAACGCTCTCACCTAAAACAAAATCTGCATTTTACTCCCTAACTTCTCAGAAAGATCTTATCCTGGACATAGAATTCTACTTCCAAACATTATTGTCTGCATGACTAGGACATGAAAGTCACATGGGCTCCTTCTGTGCCTTAATTTCTCATAAGCCTTATTATATTGTAGGGGAAAATACATAAAGAAGCCCTTATACTAGGTGTATGCTGTGAAGTCATCTGTAATTCCTGATACTGAGGAAAAACAGTTGTTGACATTCTGTTTGCTGTCAGTTTTTCTTTTAAAACACTGAGATTAAACATATCCTTTATTGAACAATATAAAGGCTGAGCGCGGTGGCTCAAGCCTGTTATCCCAGCACTTTGGGAGGCTGAGACGAGAGGATTGCCTGAACTTGGGGGTTCGAGACCAGCCTGGGCAACTTGGTGAGACCTTGTCTCTACAATAAATCAAAAAATTAGCCGTGTGTGGTGGCATGTGCCTGTGGTTCTAGCTACTTGGAAGGCTGAGGCAGAAGGATCACATGAGCCTAGTGGGTTGAGGCTATGGTGGCCATGAGTGTGCTACTGCACTCATGGCCACTGTATGCAAAAAAAAAAAAAAAAAAGATAAACTATGTATATAAATTTGTGATGGGAAGGAGAGAATGATATTGGGGGAATGGGAAGAATGGGGTGGGCAGTTAGATAGGAATTTCCTTTAGCTGTTTTTTTTTTTTTGAGTCGGAGTCTCACTGTGTCGCCCAGGCTGGAGTACAGTGGCATACTCATGGCCACTGCAGCCTCGACCTGCTGGGCTCAGGCGATCCTTTCTGCCTCAGCCTGCCAAGTAGCTGGAATTACAGGTGTGTGCCAACATGCCTGGCTAGTTTTTTTGACTTATTATAGAGGTCTCGACATGTTGCCCAGGCAGGTCTTGAACCCGTGGGCTTAGGCAGTCCTCCTGCCTCAGCCTTCCAAAGTACCGGGATTACAGGCATGAGCCACCATACTGGACTACTTCAGCTATTAAATTTTATTTATTTATTTATTTTTATAATGGAGACTGGATCTTGCTATGTTTCTCAGGCTGGTCTCAAATTCCTGGGCTCAAGTGATCTTCCAGCCTCATTCTCCCAAAGTGCTAGAATTACAGATGTAAGCCACTGTGCCCAACAGTTAAATTTTATTTATTTATTTAGTTAGTTTTTTTGTTTTTTTGAGGTGGAGTCTCACTCTGTCGCCCAGACTGGAGTGCAGTGGCCGCTCCCGGCCACCGCAGTCTCAACCTGCTGGGCTCCGGCGATCCTTCCACCTCAGCCTTCCAAGTAGCCGGAATTACAGACATGCGCTACCATGCCCGGCTGATTTTTTGATTTATTGTAGAGATGAGGTCTCGCTGCCCGGGCGGGTCTCGAACCCGTGGGCTCAGGCAATCCACTCACTTCAGCCTCCCAAAGGCGCGGGATTACAGGCTGAGCCACTGAGCCCGGCTGTTTGTTTATTTTTTAATTGAAATCTCACTCTGTCACCCAGGCTGGAGTGCAGTGGCACGCTTACGGCCACTGCAGCCTCAATCTGCTGGTCTCAGGTGATCCTTCTGCCTCAGCCCTCCAAGCAGCTGGAACTACAGGCACACGCCACTACACACAGCTAATTTTATTTATTGTAGAGACAAGTCCTCGCCATTTTGTTTAGGCTGGTCTCGAACCCATGGGCTCAGGCAATTCTCTCTCCTTTACCTCCCAAAGTGCTGAGATTACAGGCATGAGCCACCGCACCTGGCTATTTCTTAAGAAAGAAATATTCTCTTGCAGTCTAATGGTTATTAATTTGGGTGGTGAAGATATTTTTAACATTTTCTGCTGACTTTTTAAATGTCTTGCTCCAAATAAGTGAGGAGAGACTGGATGTAAGTAAGTCAAGATTCTGGCTAGCTCTGGGCTTGAGGAGGAAATGCAGTTGGGGGATAAACCAGGGCACCTTTTGCGCCCATCACTTGACTCCCACGTCTCGGGGATTATCCTTGCTTTAAGACTAATTCAGGCCTCAGGCGTGTGTCTCATCACAGAATAAGATCATGAAGGGGATTTTGGAAGAGAGAATGAGTTTTTGTTTGTGAAGTTACAATTTGCCATTACAGCCTCTTTATTTAATACTAAGCATACATCTTAACTGCATAAAACTGATGATTGTTTTTAGTCTAACAATTTCTGATATAAGCATTTCTACTTTCCTTAGTTACAGATGGCTATATAATACCATTAATATCTAGAAAAGAAGAAAATTATGAGAATATCATCAATTAGGTGTCTTGGACTTGGGCTTCCCTAGAATGAAATAGAGTGACAGTAGTGAAGTTTCATATTAAATGTTTTGGCTTTTTAAACAAGGTACACCAGACATGGTGACTCACACCTGTTATCCCAGCACTTTGGGAGGTGGAGGTGAGAGGATTGCCTGAGTCCAGGGTTTTGAGACCAGCAACTTGGTGAGACCTTGTCTCTACAATAAATCAAGAAAAATTAGCTGAGTGTGGTGGCGCATGCCTGTAGTTCCAGCTACTTGGAAGGCTGAGATGGAAGGATCGCCTGAGCCCAGCAGGTGGAAGCTACGGTGGCCATGAGTGTGCCACTGCACTCTAGCCTGGGCAGTGCAGTGAGACTCTGACTTAAAAAAAAAAAACAAAAACTAAGGTATGATTTACATATAATAAAATTTACTTTTTTAAGTATACATTTCTTTTTTTTTTTTTTTTTTTTTTTTTGAGTTGGAGTGCAGTGTAGGCTGGAGTGCAGTGGCACACTCATGGCCACTGCAGCCTCCACCTGCTGGGCTCAGGCGATCCTTCCATCTCAGCCTTCCAAGTAACTGGAAATACAGGCATGCGCCACCACACCCAGCTAATTTTTCGTGATTTATTGCAGAGACTAGGTCTCACCAAGTTGCCCAGGCTGGTCTTGAATCCCTGGGCTCAGGCAATTCTCTCGCCGCCACCTCCCAAAGTGCTGGGATTACAGGCGTGAGCCACCATACCCAGCTCTTAGGTATACAGTTCTGTGGGTTTATTCAGATGCATGTATTTGTGTAACTACCACCATTATCAAGACAGAACACTTCCATCCCCTCAGAAGATTCTCTGGTGCTCTTTGGTATTCATCCTCTTCACCTACCCCCAACCCCTGACGTCCACTTACCTTTTGTTTTCTGTGTCTCTAGTTGCCTTTTCCAGAATGTCCTAGAAAAGGAACCATACAGAATGGAACCTTGTCACTTAGTGTAATGCATCTGAGTTTCTACCATATTGGTCTTTTCTTGTGAATAGCATTGCATTATGGCTGTGCTTGTTGTTAACTGTTATCAGTTGGTGGGTATTGGGTCGTTTTTATGGAAGTTTTTGGCAATTATGAATTGAGCTGCTGTAAACATTTGCATATGGGTTTTGTGTGAACATAAATTTTCATTTCTTTTGAGTAAGTAGCTAAGGGTGGGATTGCTGGGTTGTGTGGCTGTTTTCCAAAGTGACTGTTCCATTTTGCTTTCCCAACAGCAAAGTATGAGAGTTCCTTTTGCCCCACATTGTATGTTAGTTCTGACTTTACTTTTAGACTTACTGTCACCAAATGGGTATTTTTTTTCAAAAGTAAGTTATTTGTACACAGACTTCTAGAATCTAGTAGTGTAGTTTGGATGCAGAAACTGTATTTTTCCAACCAAACACTAGGGGATTTATAAAGTGAATTTATGTTAAACTGTGTTAAGGTATGCATTCATGTGCTGTTGTCATTCTTCCAAAACCTGAAAATGTGTATAGCTTGGTCAGTGTGATTCTTATCAAAATCACATTTGCTTTTTAGACTAATAGACTCAGTATTCTCATGAATTGTTTTCCCTAGAAGCTGGTCAACCTGTAGTTCCACTGGACAGACAGTTTCTCATCCATGAACTAAACGCATTTGAAGAATCAAAGGATAATACAATGTAAGAAGTTTTTTTTTTTTAAAGAGGTTTCAGATACTGTCGTATTAGAGTCATAATTGCACAGGGTTTATTTCTTTCAATTCAGCAGGTATTTATTCAGCTCTAGTGTGTGTCAGGCATTGTACTAAGTCCAAGATGTGCAGCGTGAGCAAGTCAGATGAAGTCGATGTTTGCTGGAGCTTAAATTCCTGTGGCTTCAGAGTGACTAAGAGTCTCCACTGCTTTCTAAGGGTAACTGTTTTTGGCTTCTTGATCCAGTCTTTTTCCTTCCGAGGTGTTTTGTTGCATCCGTTGTTTTCTTCTTCATATTTAACTCTTCTCCACTGCTTCCTTCACTTCAACTTGGGGATGTACTCAGATCTCTCCTTTCCTGGAAAACTTATCAGTTCCCAACCCCTTGATACCCTTTTAACCACCAAACTTTCTGAGTCAATCCTCTGCTCTCATTTAGCTATTGCCCTCTTCTTCGCCCTTCCTGCATCTTAAATTATCCTCTCACTATTTTTTTCTTCTTTTTTTAGTCGGAGTCTTTCTCTGTTGCCCAGGCTAGAGTCAGTGGCATGTTCATGGCTCACCACAGCCTTGATCTCTACCTCAGCCTCCTGTGAGCTGGGATCACAGACAGGCGCCACCACACCCAACTAATTTTTTTACTTTTTGTAGAGACAAGGTCTCGCTCCATTTCCTAGGCTGATCTTGAATTCCTGGGGAAGCGATCCTTCCACCTCTGCCCCTTAAAGTGCTGCAATTATAGGTATGAGCCACCGCAACTGTCTCCTCTCACCATTTATATGGAAACTGTTCTTGAAAAGGAAGGGTGACCGCTTTTTAATAGTTTCTTAGTTCTTTTCTGATATCACTTTTTCTTAAACTTTTTCCAGTAGGTCCAAAGAAATGGCCAATAAAAAAACCCAAAACAATTTGTACTTAGGAGGCCAGAGAAGATCGTTTAAAGCAGCTTTTCTCTAGCTAGAGGTTTCTTTGAAGCATATGTTTTGTTGTCCTAAAAGTATATTAAATTTTTTCATTGTATTTCATGGTAAAATTGTGTTTGGTGTTTGTTTTTGAGTTGTTGTCTCACTCTGTTGCCCAGACTGGAGTGCAGTAGCTCGCTCATGGCTACTGCAGCCTCGACCTGCTGGGCTCAGGTGATCTTTCTGCCTCAGCCTTCCAAGTAGCTGGAATTATAGGCACGTACTACCACGCCCAGCTAATTTTTTGTTTTATTGTAGAGACAAGGTCTCACCAAGTTGCCCAGGCTGATCTCGAACCCCCAAGCTCAGGCAATCCTCTTGCCTCTCCCTACCAAAGTACTGGGATTACAGACATGAGCCACTATACCCAGCTTCACAGTGCTCTTTATAGATGTGCAATAAAATTCTTATTGTGGTGAATTTCATTTACCAAGATTTGTTTACTATCTATATAAGATCAAGGTGATTTTGATAAAGAGATCAAAGAAAGTATTTCTTGACTTGTTCTATTGTTCTGTAATGACCACAGAAGGCTTCAGCAGCAGTACTAAGCTGATACAGTGGAAGTCAGTTGCTATTCTACATTTTCAAGCCAAAATTTGATCTGAATAAGTGCAAATTGGGAAAATGCACTAATGAAATGTTGTTACAGCACTATATATTTAACTAATAATGTAACTGTTTAGAAACTGCATTTTAATTTTAGTAGTTACTGAGCATCTTGGCTTTGTCCACCTATGTGCTGGGTAGGTTATGCTCTTTTCCTGACAGAAAGACTTTGTAAGCTTGAGACATGAACAAGTAGAACAAGCTCAATGCTTGTTTGCACATTTTTTTTTTTTTTTTTTTGAGTTGGAGTCTCACTCTGTCACCCAGGCTGGAGGGCAGTGGCACGCTCCCGGCCACCGCAGCCTCGACCTGCTGGGCTCCAGCGATCCTTCCGCCTCAGCCTTCCGAGTAGCTGGAACTACAGGCACGCGCTACCACACCTGGCTAATTTTTTGATTTTTATTGTAGAGATAAGGTCTCACCAAGTTGTTTGATTTTTATTGTAGAGATGAGGTCTCAAACCCATGGGCTCAGGCAGTTCACTCACCTCAGCATCCTAAAGGCATGGGATTACAGGCTGAGCCACCGAGCCCAGCTGTTTGTACATCTTATGATTAAATATCGACACGAGACGCCATGAACTCCTAGAGGAAGAGCAGTGACCAGAATGGTTAGGATAAATCTCATTTGAGTAGGGTAGTTAGAATTTGTTTTAGTCATAGTAAAAGTAATTGTTCATTTTAAGAAGTGTCATTAGCACATAAGAGTATGCTCTGAAGAGAAAGTGACTGTCCCCATCCCGCCCACTGAAGCCTAATCTCACTCCCCAGAGGCAACCACTGTGAACATGTTCCCTTGCATTCAGCCCCATGTGGAATATATATTCAAAGCACTTACATGTATACTTCCTCCCACATATTTAAGGGACGTACTTCTACAACTTGTTTTTCATGCCAGCATATATAAATGTCTGTTTTTCTTCTTTTTAAAATTATGAGTAACGTCAGACACACAGAAGCAGAGTGCTAGAACAGACATCTGTGTTCCTCTCAGATCTGGAGTGCTATATTTTGTCTCTGAGTGTTTTAATCATATAAAATGCTAGGGGTTTCTTTGAAGGCCACCTGTCCTGTTCTCATCCCCACTAGCATAACCATGTTTTTTTCTTTTTGTTTTAAACAACTCGGTAGTGTTCTGTGTACCAAAATTGATGTATGTATTCTATTTTTGGTGGAGACTTAGATTGTTTTGAGTGTCTTGCTGTTGCAAGAGATACTGCATGAATGTTGGTCCACTTACAAATCTGCCTACCTGCCATGTGCCAGGCACTGTGGTAGGCGCTGGAGCTGGCAGTGTCACTGTGAGCCTTACTTTCTGCAGTGTTATCTGGGAATGAGTTTTTCTGGAGTGTGCTCTGTGGGTTGCTTGTTTGTGAGATGCTCACCACAAAAGGGGATGGGAAGGCCACTGTACCAGCCCAGTGCTGGAGGTGCATAGTGCATGTTGGTGTGGCAGCTGCTCTGGGAAATCCACCCACCCAGCTCAGGGTCTCCAAGTTTACTTGGCCTAATTCGTCATATCCCGCAGAGCCCGTGTGCATGGGTACACTGAAGCACTGGATCTGAGTGTTTTAAATTAAACAAAAAAGCAGGTAATAATTTAAAAAGCATAAACGGTGGCCACTTTTGAGAAATATAAAAATTGTATGGATCACCGGAGCCCAGCAGGTCGAGGCCGCGGTGGCTGGGAGCGGCCACTGCACCCGGCCACTGCACTCCAGTCTGGGCGACAGAGTGAGACTCCAACTCAAAAAAAAAAAAATTGTATAATTGAGAAGAGTGGGAAAAATAATTTGGAGGAGTCTGAGTGTGGCTGAGGGTGGGCAGTGAGGCATTGCATCATTAAAATACACATAATTTTCCACTTTGCAATTGTTGGAAATGAGCAACAATTATATTCACTTGGCTTCTTGGTAGCTTTTGAGCTATTTGCTGCAGGTGAAAGTATTAAGAAGCAAGTTGATGGACAACTTTGTTTTATTTATTTATTTATTTTTAAAATGTGGGGTACAATGCAGGATGAGGAATACAAATAACAGCTTTGTATTTTAAGGTAGGTAACTTCTTTAAGCCCTTGTTTCTCACACTTCAGTGATTCACTCAGAGTTTGCATATCCACATACTGCTTGTATTACAGATCTATAGTGCTACATCTGAAACCCTTGAGGCCAGATGTAGTTTGAAGATCAGAAGTTTCAAGTTTTAAAAAAGTAACATTGAGCTGGGAGCAGTGGGTTATGCCTGTAATTCTAGCACTTTTGGAGGCGGAGGTGAGAGAATTGCCTGAGCCCATGGGTTTGAGACCAGGCTGGGCAACTTGGTGAGACCTTGTCTCTACAGTAAATCAAAAAAATTAGCTAGGTGTGATGGTATGTGCCTATGGTTCTGGTTCCTGCTACTTGGAAGGCTGAGGTTGAAAGGATCTGCTGAGCCCAGCAGGTTGAGGTGCAGTGTGTGTGACACTGCACTTCAGCCTGGGCAACAGAATGAGACTGACTCAAAAAAAAAAAAAGAAGTAACATTGTACATAGACCAAATTCTACATAGCTCATTCTAAGGTAGAGCACTACAGTCACAAAATAGTTTTCAGAGAAACTTGAGAATTTTCACACAAAGTAAGAGAATGCCTGCACTAGCCTTATGTGAGGTCAAGCCATGCAAACAAATGAGTTTATGCCAATTTTATGAAGAAAATTCTACCTTTCTGAGGTTTTGCATTTCAGGATTGCGGACGAGGCATCATGAGGCTCTACTTTTCTTTAAATTATCTTTTTAAACTTCTTTTTTCTTTCCTTCTTTTTCCTTTTTTTTTTTTTTTTTTTTAAGATGGAGTCTTGCTCTGTCACCCAGGCTGGACTTCAGCCCAGCTCCTGGGCTCTAGTCCTCCTCCTACCACAGCTTCCCAAGTAGCTGGGACTATAGGTGTGCACCAACATGCCCGGCTAATTATTTTTAATTTTTTTTTTTGGTAGAGATGGAATTTCACCCAGGGTGGACTCAAACTCCTGGCCTCAAACAGTCCTCCTGCCTCAGCCTCCCAAATCACTGGGTTTACAGGCATAAACCACCATACCTGACCGAAACTTCTTCATTTATTTTCACTGTAGGATAAACTTATTTTATTTATTTTTAGAGCAGGGTCTCACTCTGCTCTCCAGGCTCTATTGCAGTGGCACATCATAGCTCATGAAAACTTTGAATTCCTGAGGTCAAGTGGTTTGCCTGTCTCAGTTTCTCAAGTAGCTGGGACTACAGGTACATGTCACCATGCCCCGCTAATTTTTTTTTAACTTTTTTTTTTTTGTAGAGACAGAGTCTTCTTACTATGTTGCTCAAGCTGATCTTGAACTCCTGGCCTCAAGTGATCCTCCTGCCTCAGCCTTCCAAAGTGCTAGGATTATAGGTGTTGGCCACTCTGCCTAGCCTAAACTTAAAAAAAAAACCATAAACCTTAATATCCATGAAGTCACAGGTTAAATGTTCTAATGGCACTTAAAAATATGTGACCCTTTTTTTTCATTTGAGTTGGAGTCTCATTCCGTCACCCAGGCAGGAGTACAGTGTGGTGGCACGCTCACGGCCAACCCAGCGTTGACCTGCTGGGCTCTGGCAGTCCTTCTGCCTCAGCCTTCCAAGCAGCCAGAACTACAGGCATGTGTCACCACACCCGGCTAATTTTTTATTTATTGTAGAGACAAGATCTCGTCAAATTGCATGGGCTGGTCTCAAATTCACAGGCTTAGGCAATCCACTTGCCTTGGCCCCCCCAAAGTGCTGGGATTACAGGCTGAACCACTGAGCCTGGCCGTAACTCTTAAAAAGTTTAAATCTTAAGTAAACTTTATAGAATGATAATTTTTATTTATTTATTTAAAAAATGTAAAAAAAAAATTTTTTTGAGTTGGAGCCTCACTCTGTCGCCCAGACTGGAGTGAAGTGGCCGCTCCTGGCCACCGCAGCCTCGACCTACTGGGCTCTGGTGATCTTTCTGCCTCAGACTTCCAAGTAGCTGGAACTACAGGTGCACGCTACCATACCTGGCTAATTTTTTTGATTTAATTATAGAGATGAGGTCTCGCCAGGTTGCCCGGGCGGGTCTTGAACCCGCGGGCTCAGGCAATCCACTCACCTCGGCCTCCCAAAGCGCAGGATTACAGGCTGAGCCACTGAGCCCAGCAAAATTTTTTTTTAAGTTGGAGTCTTACTCTGTTCCCAGGCTGAAATGCAGTAGCATGCTGACAGCTACCAAAGCCTCAACTTGCTGCGCTCAGGCAATCCCTCTGCCTCAGTCTTTCAAGTAACTGGAACTACAGGTGCCACCACACCTGGCTAATTTTTCTTGATATATTGTAGAGACGAGGTCTTGCCAAGTTGCCCAGGCTGGTCTCGGACCCATGGACTCAGACAGTCCTCTCACCTTCGCCTCCCAGAGTGCTGGGATTACAGGTGCAAACCACCACACCCGGATTTTTTTTTTTTTTTTTTGACTAGGAGTCTCCCTCTGTCACCTAGGCTGGAGTTCAGTGGCACACTCACAGCCACCACAGCCTTGACCTGCTGGGCTCAGACGATCCTTCCACTTCAGACTTCTAAGTAGCTGGAACTACAGGTGTACACCACCATGCCTGGCTAACTTTTTGATTTATTGTAGACATGAAGTCTCACCGTGTTGCCCAGGCTTGTCTTAAATCCCTGGGCTCAGGCAATCTTCTTGCCTCTGCCTCCCAGAGTGCTGGGATGACAAGCGTGAGCCACTGCACCTGGCTAAATTGTGAATGTGTTTTCTCTGGATTTAAAAGTTGTCATTCGAGTTAAATGGTACTCTTAAATGTAAAAGTATGAACAGTTTGCTATTTGGATAATAATGCAGCTTTTTTTGTTTGTTTGAATTGGAGTCTCACTGTCACCCAAGCTGGAGTGCAGTGGTAGGCTCCTGGCCACTATAGCCTCGACCTGCTGGGCTCAGGTGATCCTTCTACCTGAGCCTTCCAAGAAGCTGGGACTACAGGTGTGCATCACCACATCCAGCTAATTTTTTGGTTTATTGTAGAGAGGTGCTGCCACATTACCCAGGCTTGCTTGAACCCTTAGACTCAGGCAATCTTCTCACCTTGGCCTCCCAGAGTGCTGGGATTACAGGCATGAACCACCATGCCTGGCAGTAATGCAGCTTTTTAAAGTTTATTTGGCCATTTTGATATCAGAGGTTACCTTCTAAAGAATGTTTTAAGCCTTTGCAGTGTGTGCAAACTTAATTTATTTTTTGTTTTCTTCCTACCATAGACCTCTTCTGTATGGAGTTTTAGCTCACTTCTTGCACGGAACTAAGGATGGCATCCAGAATGCATTCCAGAAAGGACCTTCTTTGCAGCTTCCACAATCCAGTCTCAATAGACAGCCCAGCAGAAGCAAGCAGATGGGTACCAGTTTCCTGAGATGCGTTATCTAGCAGTCCATAAGCAAGGCTTCTTCCTCTGTGTTTTTCTCTTTAGAGGCGTTTTCCCAGAGCTTTTAAATCATAGTTTAATTCTGCTCATACCTAATATAGTTGGCCTCTGTTACCCCCAAAAACATGGAAAGAGACTCTTGGAGGGGGAAGGAGGGTGAGACTAACTGGACAGGATTCTGTGGTATCATTTCATTACTGATTTTCATGTAAATGTATATTCCTTGGAGCAGCTTAGATCCTTAGTGTACTGAATAAATCGCTTTTTATCAAGTGAGTTTTTTTGCTTCATGATTGAAAAAGGCAAGATTACTGAATACAGATAGAGAAGTCAGAGGTATATGTGTCCTGTGTGTTAAGTTTAGACTACTTTTTATGGTAGAATGGGAGTTAACTACAAGTCACGAATTCTTAGGAGAGTAGCCCATACTGCTTTTTGTTTTTTAGAGACAGTGTCTTACTCTGATGAGTGAGAGACAGTGGTGTGATCACTGCAGCCTCGAATGCCTGGACTCAAGTGATCCTCTCACCTCAGCCTTTCAGGTAGGGATTCTAGGCAAGAGCCAATGTACCTAGCTGAGAATAGTCCATATTTCCTTTCAAATGCTCACTTTTATTTTATATTTCTTTTTTAAATTTTTATTTTTGAGTTGGAGTCTCACTCTGTCGTCGAGACTGGAGTGCAGTGGCCGCTCCCAGCCACCACAACCTTGACCTGCTGGGCTCCGGTATCCTTCTGCCTCAGCCTTCCAAGTAGCTGGAACTACAGGCGCGTGCTACCACGCCCGGCTAATTTTTGATTTATTGTAGAGATGAGGTCTTACCAAGTTGCCCAGGCGGGTCTCGAACCCGCGGGCTCAGGCAGTCCACTCACCTCAGCTTCCCAAAGTGCTGGGGTTACAGGCTTAAGCCACTGCATCCAGCCATTTAGGCATTCCTTTTGTTTTGTTTTTCTTGAGTTGAAGTCTCACTCTGTCGCCCAGGCTGGAGTGCAGTGGCACACTTACAACTACCCCAGCGTCAACCTGCTGGAATCCAGCAATCCTTCCTCCTCAGCCTTCCAAGTAGCTGAAATGATAGGTGTGTGCTACTGCGTCTAGCTAATTTTTTATTTTATTGTAGAGACGAGGTCTTGCCAAGTTTCCCGGGCTGGTCTTGAACCCGTGGGCTCAGGCAATCCACTCACCTTGGCCTCCCAAAGTGCTGGGATTACAGGCTGAGCCACCGAGCCTGGCCTAGGCACTTCTTAAAGTTTGGTGTCACCATTCAATATTTACATTTGTTCTGATCATCAGCTGCCTGACCCCTACCTAAAACCATCCTCCTTAAAAACAGACCAGTTTTCTACCAGAGCCAGAGACACTGTGCTATCCCATTCAGTTCAGATTCTCAAACTGGGAGCCTAGTGCTGATATAGCTAAAACAACAGAGAACTCATTTAAAAGTGAGCATTTGGGCCAGGCTTGGTGGCTCAGCCTGTAATTCTAGCACTTTGGGAGGCCAAGGCAAATGGATTGCCTGAGCCTGCGGGTTCAAGACCAGCCTGGGCAACCTGGTGAGACCTGGTCTCTACAATGAACCAAAAATTATTCAGTCGTTGTAGTACATGCCTATAGTTCCAGCTACTTGGAAGGTTGGGGTGGAGAGATCACCAAAGCCCAGCATGTCTATGCTGGGGATGGCCGTGAATGTGCCACTCCACTCCAACCTGGGTGACAGAGTGAGGCCAGGAGTTAAAGACCAAACTAGGCAGCATAGTGAGACCTTATCTCCACAAAAAATAAAAAAAGATAGCTAGGCATGGTGGCATGTGCCTGTAGTTCCAGCTACTCGTAGGGCTGAGGTGAGAGGATAGCTTAAATTCAAGTAGAGGCTGCAGTGAGCCAAGATCACACCATTGCATTCCAGCCTGGGCGACAGAGCAAGACCCTGTCTCTAAATTAAAAAAAAAAAACAAAAAAAAGCAAAATAAAATATTAATTTTGCAAGCACATGAGTAAGTGTCTAAAATTTTCAAATAAGATGACATTTCCTTTAACCTCTTTCCTTCTTTGGCTGTCCCTAACTCCTCATTTTCCTTCCCTTTCCATAGAAGGTACCCCTGTTAGCACTTTGGAGGTTATCCTTCAGGACTTGTTTCTGTGTTTTTTTGTTTTTTGAGTCAGGGTCTCACTGTGTTGTTCAGGCTGGAGTGCAGTAATATGATCATGGCTCATTGAAGCTTTGATCTCCTGGGCTCAGACGATCCTTCCACTTCAGTTTCCTGAGTAGCTGGAACTATAGGCCTACACTACCATGCCTAAGTAACTTTTTGATTTTTTTGTAGAGATGAGGTCTCACTATGTTGTCCAGGCTGGTCTTAAACTCCTGGGCTCAAGCGATCCTCCTACCTTGGCCTCCTAAAGATCACAGGCGTGAGCTCCGGCACCTGGCCAGACTTCTTTTTTTTTTTTTTTGG